ACAATTTTATGGAGTCAGGCCTTTTTGTCTCCTAAAGCTACTGTTACTGGAGTCCACAAAAAAAGACAATAGAGTTTTACTATCGCCATCTCAGTGGCAATTTTGTGAGTTGATAATGCTAAATATAAAGAAAACGTTCAGTAAATTCGTAAACTGGAGTAAAGCGGAGGCTTATGTCTCTCCCAATGCGCGCCATTTCACCCGGTCTTCAGCTCGTTGCATCCATCTGCTGCCAGCAGCCCTTCGCAAATCGTCAGTCCATCAGGCCAGAGGGCGTCCTACACTACGTTTGCCGACTTACTTACACTTCCCCGTTCTTCAACATATATGGCCAGCGCACTGCCACTTCAGCTTGTTTATTCTACCAGCTATGTCGACGACCATATTTCTCTATCGGATAACCTCGTTCCGTGCATTGTCGTTCAAAGACACTCCAAACATAGCTTGTTCCTTAGCTAGCTGAGCCACTTTCAACTGGTGAACTAACCGTATGGTGAGTGTCCACGTCTCGGCTCCGAGTGTCATAACAGGTAGAACGCACTGATTGAAAAACCTTTGTTTTCAAACTTTGTGGTATGGGTGACGAGAAAACTCGACGGACTACCTACGTGTCGTTGCGTTTATAAACAAAACTTAATTTGTTAATTTAAACAATGCGTATCAATAGTAAAAACCTATTCAATTCAATTCATTTATTGCTTTAAATGTGGTGAGTACAATACTTGATGGTAATGTTTACAGAATGCTGTTTCACACATTTAGCCATTTCTGACATGCAATGTATAATAAAGCAGAGTACATGCAGAAATCTGTCAAAATTATAAAGTTATGTGCTTAATGTAATATCTGCATATAACATTACTATTACAAATAATCCCACAAATTTATACATTACACAATGTCACATAAATCCTTGTCGTAAATTATAACATTTCCTGTAAATAAAGCATTAATATTATAATAAGTTTTACATATTTTGTTCACACTATAATATGTCTTTTCTTTCAACCACAGTTTTCATAAGCACTTTAATTTATGGCTGTGATTTTAGTGTATCAGCCAAAGTATTATATACCTACATACATTGCTTTATTTTCAGGTGCACTCAATGCCGTTCGTAGTACAGTGTCCATAATCAGTCTGTTTTGGTGTCTATAAATCCGTTTTGATTATCTTTGGCTCGCTGGAGAAACCTTCATGTGTTCGTACAAATATATGTACATACTAGGGAGCGACATAATTCCAAATTTCCGAAACAAAAGTCTACACAATTGATCTGGACACTCTGTCAGTATTTAGAAATCAACGCAACATCCCGTTGTCTGTCCAATATTAAGAAACTTAACTAGGTCAATTCGCAGATGAAACGCAAATGGATAACGATGCTAGCTTCTTATTCACAGCAGGGTTCAATTAGAGGCCATTTGTGTTAATCCACAGCTGACTGAGGGAACAGTATCGTGGGATGATACTCGGATGATTCATAAAAATACCCTTCACTGTCTAAATAGTGTCATAAAAATTTACTAGCTTTTAGGATTGTTAATCTATTTAATGTTTACTTTTAGTTTCGTCACTTTTCTCGTGAAATATTGTTTTTGTTTTTTAATGGGTTATTGGGAAATCAGGTCACCGTTTGGATTCTTTAACATTGTAACATTCTTTTAGTATTGTAATGACTGTAGCCAATCGGTAGATATAACAATAAAAAGGATTATGTTGATCAATTGTGCTCAATATCATCTTTTAAATCCATCCATTTCATTCCGTAACTTTAACTAACTAACCACAGACGAAAATAGCTCACTCACATAGATTCTGTCGCTTCCTTGGTACATTCTTCTACTTTAAGTTAAAATCTACTTTGCATTATGTCGCCATGAATAAAATTAGAAGACTATCAAATCCTAGCTTAAGTGTAAAAAGTACAATGAAACAGAGGGTTTGCTGTAAATTGTTTCATAATTATTTTTATATAACCATTAACCAGAGTAATCGCTTAACATACGTAAAAAAAATGCAGTCGAATTGAGTACCTCCTCCTTAGTCAACCGTGACCATGGGACCTGTAAAGGGCCCGAAACGTCGGTTTGTTTGAAAAAACAAATATTCAAATCTGGAAAAATAGTTTCATTTCCTATCCGGAAAAATACTTTCATTTCCTATACCTCCTCCTTTTTTGAAGTCGGTTAAAAATAATATGTTTCTGAACAGCATTCAGTTGTCTGTAAAGAACACTGAATTAAAAATCTACCTTATTACGTGTATATTAGAATCATCCCACGACATACTCACGCAGTATTTTGTCCATACTTACAATCTCAGGTTTCCCACAGGTTACGTCAGGCCCTTTATAATTATCTCCACGACGGTAGCAGTATTCTCTTCAAGTCTTTCATTGTTTATTGTGTATTGTGCAAACTTTGCCGTGTTCATATTCTGTACAATGTAATCTCTCTCTTTACATTCAAGATATTCGTATTTTCAGATTTAGAAACTATTACCTAGATACGCGTATATTGTATATTTTAGTAGCAGTAGAGGTGCTTCTATTCTGAAGGGTTAGTGCTAGTAAAATTACAGGCACATGGGACTTGTCAACTTTATATCTCAGGGTGACGAGCACAGTGGCAGGTCTTTGCGATTTAAAATTCTGAGTGGCACTGCAAATATTATGAGTAAGAGTATTTCTTACCACCACCAAGTGCACGAGTTATTCGTCCCACTATTTCATCGAATATATAACCAGAAATAGAGACGAAATGTCATTTAGTTTGTTTGAAAACTATTCTACCATATCATTTCGGTGACAACAGCGCTCCAATTGACCAGCCCGAATTCGACACAATGACGGGTATCGTCAATTGTTTCACTTCAAAGCGACCAGTTTAACACGACGATTGACGAATATTGCAAAATTACATATTCAATATTTTTAATTACCGATGAAATGTGATTCCGTTTGTTTTGCAATTAGATGTTTTGCTGTTTTTCCCACACCACCGAATGGAACAGCCCATGGTTAGAGATATTATCTTTATTACAATAAATACAGAATATTCTTGTAATATTCGGAGACGTACATACAGGTCAGTTGCTGGTTGTTGCTGTACTATTTCAGCTAAATTGTGATTTCATCGCAAACAAAAGTTAATATTTAAAAGTGATATCAGTACCCTTTGACTGATGAGTTGCCAGGGATGGATGGCCCTTATTTCGTCTCTATTTCTGGTTATGTACTCGATACATTATTTGATAATCATAAAAAAGAATGTAAAATTCATCATTTTTTTATATATGAGCGTAATATTAAATCTAGTCTCCTTTTATGTAATAATAGATTTCATCGATTAGCAGACAAAATTGCTGACGTCGAAAATTTGGGGGATTTGAAATGTGAATCTTATTTGAGTCAAAATAACACGTGAATGTCAATAAAAATAATAATAATAGCCAGCGCACGTACAATTATTTGTTATCCATAAATAGAACAAATATTACTATCAACACTTTATGAAGTTTTTTATAAGATACTGCCGCGTTCGTTCGTTGAAAGGGCGTTTGTGACAAAAACTAAAATTCACGAAAATAATGTTTAAAGATATCCAATATAAAAAAAAATCTATCTTTTCTCTTGCGTGAACTTCATACCTTATCTACGTAGGAAAAAATAAAAGTAGTGACAGATCGGCCTTTCATTACTGTTGTCACATGCACCCTTTTAAGTAAACTCGGCAGAATAATAATTATATAATAATACACAGTTTTTTCGTTCTCCTTTCAAATTATTCGAAATTACTTGAGAGGTGTTCTTAGCTACAATTAGTATACCTCAAAATTAAATAGAACATTTTTATCGTTTAAATTTGTTTTCCTTGTTAACATTGGCAGCAAATCATTCAAAACAAAATCATGAAGTTTGTCTAGGACAGATATGGCACCCGCGCTTCGAGCGGGCTTCAGCAGTAAAATTAAAAAACAAAAAATCTAAATCTCTCTTCAAGAAACGGTCGCCGTCGTCGCACACGTCGCTAAAATTTGTAATTTCTTTTTCTCGAATAATTTTATTATAAGTTAATGGACTGTATTAACTTATAAGAAAATTATTCGAGAAAAAGAAATACTAGCATTTTATTTCCACTGGGCCTATACAAAGTTTTTATACCACATACAAGTTTTTTTTCTGCAACTGAGGTCTTGACTATTTTGAACTTAACTATTTGGAAGTGATCATACTTGTCAACGAGGAATTGGTGTGAGCTGGTTAGCACAAGCTTTATTTCCATGGAATAAAAGCAAAAAAGAACTTTGCACGTTTTGCTATCTACCGGCGATGGAAAATGCACAACGTCTTTTTCGCTCTTATTACATGGACATAAAATTATTTTCTGACCTGCTGACAAATGTGGCAACTCCTAAACCTTAACCGTTAATATTAAATCTCATCCCAATTCAAATCATACACAACAAATGCGGTCTTCGTAGAAAGTAGGGTTATTAGGTCTGATTATGATTATGACCTGTTAGTTCTGCAGCGGCGGCTTTTGCGCATTCAATTTAAAATTCAGTAGATGCTTCGTCAAGATTACGATCCTTATGGATGACCGTGTCAATTCCGGTCACGTAATGTTCTGTGCTTTTTCAGATGTAGATTGTGCAAGTGAAACCTCATTGAAGTAGAAAACGATAGAATATGTTTTTGTTTGTCTTAAACTGCGTACTATCAGCAAAGTTGAAGCTTAACCAGTTCCAAAACAATTTTGTTTGCAAGCGGATATTATAGCTTACCCTGCCCTTTGTTGTTTAAAATATGATCCAGTCCTTTTTTATTGTTACTACAACCCGACGCTGCTTAAACTGGTAAGACGTAAATTTTTCCGGTAGTAGTAAAAATTTTATTTTAGCATCTCTAGCGAAGAAAGTATTAAGTTTTATACTGATAGGTGACTAAATTTATGATAAAAATCAAAAACAGTTTTATGCAAAAATTATCACAATGGCTTTATTAAAGTATATAAATAGTATACTTGTGACTTATATGGACATCTATTTACAAATTATATACAAAATTCACATAATAATCTACAGCAGTCTTATAGAAATGTATTTACATCAACCAACATTTACGAAATGAACGCCCTTTGAAAAGGCGAGAAATTACAAAAATATAGGTTAAAATCTTAATTATTACCTATTTGGTAAAGCGCGCGTTGCGATTATACAATATTCACAAGAAGCTTTTGACTAAAATATTTTACGTTGAGTTATGAGAAGCGTGGACTAGACAAGATAGGCTTGACCTGAAGGCTGAGTGTCAATTAACGGCGGCGGCGGTGGCCAGTGCCTAAATTCCCGCCTTCTATTAGGATTGCTACCCCCTAGTTCTAATGACGAGTAATCTGAATCGATTGACGAGTATATATGATCTGACGGAGGTCGACCGTCCGGCCCGTACGCAGATTGTAATTGCTGCGGACGCTCCTCAACAAATTGCGGAGCTGTATTCACTCCATCGGCCGGCCCTCGCATTTTCTCAGTAAAAGAAAAGGACCTCAATGTACCATTCTGCATACCACTTCTCATAGTATAAGAATTTATATTGTTTCTGTAACTAGATGTTTTGTTTCTGCACTTCCTATCCGGCAACGCGTAACGCAATTTCTCCCAAAATTTATTTTGGCCCCATCTTATTCTTAAACTTGTTTTCAAATATGGTCTAAGATCTGGATCACATTCGGCTTCAGACAATACTGAGCTCTCTTCTATTATGACTAAAGTATAAATTCGAGTTTTCAGAATTTCATGCAATGCTTGCCGAAATTCAAAACGTGACCATTCAGTTTCAATAAAATTCCTGGTTAGTATAAGAATAATACGTTTCGAAGCTTCCGCGGCTTCGGGAAGCGGTAATGTGCATTGCATATAGGCTATGTTATGTTGTGGTATGTCTCTGTAGTGTAAACATAGGTGATACGAAGGGTTTCCATTTTCCAACTCAGCGGCTAACGTTTGAATAACAAAGTCATCATCCTTTGGGCTGTAGCAGACATAAGCATCGTATAATTTATCAGTGTCGTCGTACGCTCCAGTGAATGGAAACAATCTTATTCCACATCTAGTGTACAGCCATATGCGAATTGTGTCTCTAAACAAGAAAATAACGAGGATGACTAGCATGATTAGCATGAATCCCGTGAGCGTGGTTACCATCATGGGCATGTAATTTGAGACCAACATATTATCTATAACAGAATCTCCAGCGTAATAGTCGCTGCATATTGTACCGTTAAAATTGAGCTCTTTCTTTTGTGGAGTCTGAGCGCTATTCCAACACCAAACGTCTGCTAAGTCAATAATTTTGGGAACATTGTCAGATATGAAAGCAGTAAATCTTTGTAGATATCTACACTTACAAGACCACATGTTGTTACCTAATGCAATTGCGTTCAAATTTCTGTTATATGTTAAGCTCCAAATTGAAAAATCTATTAATCTGTTCCCATCCATTCTCAATTTTTTTAATAAACGCAAAGTTGAAAACGTGGTATTACCTATATGAGTGATAAAGTTATTTTGTAGATATAGCTCATTCAGCTGTGTGAGATGTTCGAACTCGTAACCGTATAAATATTTCAACTTATTATTCGCGAGATTCAATTTAATGAGCGAGGACAGCCCAGCGAAGGTTTTGTTTTGTATGATTTCCACTTGACTCGAATTTACATAAAGTGATCTCATATTTTTTCGTCCGATGAATGCATAATTTTGTAGTTCTTTAAAGTCGTTTCCATCCAAGTATACCTCAGTAGCATCCATAGGTATTTTTTCAGGTATTTCAATTGCACTTTGACTCGAACAGTCTACTACGTTAGTATGCCAAGTGGGGTCGTGATAACAAGAACAATTATTGGGACAAGTCATTTGGCAATCGCAAGCCACGTAATCACAACAATGGCAAAGTGTGAAACAGTGAGTTTCATATGTACATAAAAAATCAGTAGATTTCAAATTACTTAAAGGAATATGAGTAACACCTCGAGTGTGCGTCATTTTACACAATACATTCTCGAGATCCATTATCCTTGGGTGTTGCCTCATTGCAGTCATATTGTTTATCAAAGGGAGCCATTCCATCGAACAATCACAGTTAAACGGATTTCCTCCGATGTAGAACTCAGGCAACGACTTGTTTGAAGGAACCGGGGACAACCGGAGGCTGTTGATATCTAAATGAGATATCTCATTTGCGTAAATATCAACTCGAGTAAGATTGCGTTTCTCCATAAACGTATTTACTTGAATATTGTTTATGTGGTTATTATTTATGAACAAAAGTTCCACGCTGTTCGGAATTGCTAATGGAGAGATTTCAACAATACGATTATGGCTGACGTCTAAAGTTTTGATGTGAATTTCATCTTGTAACTTATAGTAATTGCCCAAGTGTTCAATGAAATTTCCGTGAACATCCAACCACTTTAAATTAGTCGGTATGAAAGCATAATCAAACCAAACTAAATGATTATCAGACAAATTAAGCCACAATAAGCTAACTAAAGTTGCAAACACCCCATTAATATCAGATATAAAATTACTGTCAAGTCTGATGGCTTCCAATTGTTTATTTCTTTGAAAACTTCCCCTTTCCACGGCTTGTACTTTATTCCTTGCTAAATTCAATACTTGTAAACTCGGCAAATCCCAAAACATACCAATCGACAAATTTCCAATTTGGTTGTCAATTAATCTCAATCCAGTTAGTTGATCCAAATTCTTAAATGATCCATTTTTTATATCGGTTATTTGGTTCTCACCGAGATCTAAGGTCTTTAATAAAGATAACTCCCAAATTGCTTTTGGAACGTCTGTCAGCTGATTTGAACTTAAATCTAGTTCTTTTAAATCGGAACAATTTTTGAAAGCTTCAGAATCAATATTTATTAAAAGATTATTATTTAAATTCAATTTACTTAATACAAACAACCCATTGAAAAGAAATTCATCAATCGTGTGCAATCTATTTTCAGCTAAATTTAAGGTATGCAAATTATAAAGCGGAAGGAATGTATTTTCTTCAATGTACCCAATGGAGTTATTTCTTAAATCTAATATCTGCAGGAAGAATAAATCTTTAAACGTCTTACCATCTATCCTTGTCAACGCGTTATTGGATAAATTCAGAATGACTAAACGTATAAGGCCAATAAATGTGCCGCCGTCAATGTGAGCGCTCGAGAGCTGATTATTCGATAGATCTAATACGAGTAACTGTTCTAATCGGTGAAATACGCCTCTAGCTAACTCATATAGCAGGTTATTATTCAAATATATCTCACGCAACTCTTTCAAGTTCGCGAAAGTGCCCTCTGGAATAGACTGAAGGTTGTTATAAGAAATATTTAAAATCCTTAGCGAAATTAGTCCATTAAAAGTTTCTCCGGAAATATCAGTTATGTTATTATATTGAAGTCTTAGTTCCTGAAGTCTTCTCAGTCCAGTAATTTCCGATTCATCCGTCAACGACTTAATTTCATTATTACTAAGATCCAAACTTCGAAGGCCAGTACCACAATTTCTTCCAAAACCGAGACGGTCAACACTCTTAATTCTATTATGAGTTATATTTAAAACTTGCAAATTATCCAGTGGACAGAATACTTCTGAAGGTATAACTTTCAAACTATTTTCACCCAAATCTAATATTTGCAGCTCTCGCAGTCCGTTAAAAGTTCCAAGAGAAAGCTCCAAGTTTTTATTCGGACTCCAAACGTAGTTTTTCGATCGGATAAACAACTTTTTCAGTTCACGTAATCCTTCAAAAGCGTTGCCTGGTATCCTGAGAAGTTTGCAATTGTGAAGTGTTAGTTCGGTGAGTGTTGAAAATCGTTGAAAATAGTTTGCCTCAAGGAAACTTTCGAAGAGCAGTAGTTGGTTGCACTCGACCGTGAGTCGCTTCGTAATCTCAGGAGGTACAGATACAAAACTGGAACCATCGGTTTCAAGGGTCCGCACCCGACATAAGGTGCTACCCTCGACACTGTCTGATAATCGGCTGCAGTTATCCACGCCCCGCGGCGCATATGCGGCATTAACACCTAAAGTCACTAACAAAAGAGTCAGCAATTGAAACATTTTCTACACACATTTGTCTATACCGATCTAAGCGAAGCGGTAATTAAAAACATTCAGTCACTAATTCACTATCATTCAAATTAATGTTTTGTACAGAGATATAATCAATGATTTGTTTTCACTTCACTCAGTGTGTTTACATCGCGCACGTACTTTCGGTGCGGAAGGCAACGCAGACGCGTGCCGTCCTCATCTTGGCTCGTGTGCAACTGACGAGGCATTTGGCCTGCCAGTGTGGCGGCAGTGGCGCACTCGTAGCCGCCCCTCTGCTCCCTCCCCACTATCCTCATACCCCTACATAGTTACACGTTCCCTCGCATGGCGCCACTCGCGTCAGACCGAGCTCTCACACAATTATGTAATGTTTTCTTAATCGAGCCACCGCGTCGGCTTTAAAAAAGGAAGCCTACACCTTAGAAATTATTATTACCGGTGCATCGTCGCGGCTTTCCTAGAATAATCAATGAGTTATTGAATTATACATGAAAGAAGCCGGTAGTAATGGTCTTTATTTTATTTCTTAAATCGCAGTTACAAGTATTTTCGACCGTTATTGAAGTAAGAGTAATCATAAAATTATCTGCAGTATTTTTACTTAACAAGGGGATTGACAACATATAGCAAGGCGCAGATATGTTGCAACGAGTACCCTTAATTTCTTTTGCTGTCACTTATTGAATTCCCAGCTCACATACTTGGTGAAGATACCCAATAAAGCTTGTTTGGCGTCGTGTGCCCCTCACATGTTTTTTGTCTAAGGAAACCTGCAGAATTTTCAAATAGTGAAGGGCGTTTCGGACAACAAATACCAGTACCAAGTACGGTTGAAAGAGGCGCGAAGTTGGTAGGAGTTGATAATTTGATTTCCTTGTTCGGCACGTAAAGTCGTTTACGGGTCTCACTGAAAGTTGCCTATGTACAGGATGCGGTAGAACTTTTAGAAATCCCGGTACCAGGACTAAAAACACGTCACTACGCGTCCTTTGTGATAGGAGTTTTATTTAGTACTTTCTATTTGAGTACTTTTGGGCTGTTCTATTCAAAGCAACCCCTATTTTCAGGATATAAAAATAATGGTAGAGAATAAGGAGGAAACTTGAACTATTGTAAAAGAATATAAGAACAAATAACAGTTCAAAAGCTTCGTTAAAAAGACACCGATCTAAAAATAAACTAGCTACCCCGATACGACAATAGGAAAACTAAAAATTTATCAATCTAGATCACGACTTTCATTGAACGACAAAAACTCAGTAAAAGTTTTCCAGCTTAAGTGATAAAACACGTTAAGGACATCCTAAAAACACCATGATATCCTTAATATTAATGTCTTGTGGCGTATCCTGTATCAAAAGTTGGTGCTGTCGAGAGTTCTTAGCGCTAGCTTGATAAATGACTTCTTCTACTTTTGTGAAAGTTGTTCGTGTATTTTTTCCTCTGTATCTGGAGGCTGGATGTCACAGGCTGGCAGAACGTGCTCCGACTGCCAATAATGTTTCACTAACACGATCTCGTATCATCCCGCTGGATTATTCGGCTCGCTGTCATTTTTAAATTCGCTTTTTATTCTTCGGAAAATTTCGCTTTTCGTAAATTGTTCCAAGTTGAATTATTTTCTAATAAAAAGATTACAAAGTGGCGCGTTTAGAAGTCAAGTTGAAATCTCGATCGCATTTATAATGGAGAAATAATCGTTTCGGATTTTATCCGTGGCCATTAAGAAGAACGACATGGCTGAATTGCATAATTTAGAAGCAAGGAAGTGTAATTAAAATGCACATTATTTCGCGGCTCTTACTCTCAAGTTTATTCCATTGTTATCTGCGATCGGTTTGCGTAGAGAATATGTCTCGGTGAGAATCCAGTTATTGGTAGTCGTTATCTTGGATGGTATTAACGCTGCGCCACCATATATCAAGGACTTTGTTACTTGAGATTGTACGGTAGTACGGGAACTTTAAATATGTTATTCAATTTATGGCTTTCGAGGCTTTGTGGACTGATAAACAATGGTTGAATTCGTAGATTTGAATTTATGGTTTTATTAGAATTTAAAATACAGAACTTTTATTCTCAGTCAATTATATCAGTTTTTGTCACTATCTATTATTAGAAAACTACCGTGAAACTCAGAGATTTTAACTAAACTAACGGATAATTCATTTAAGTCGAATTTTTAATAAAGAACTACGGACTGGTTTGACATTTCGAGTAAAAAATCGACTTAAATACTTGAGTCACTCGTTACTTTAGTAAATCTATCTACAGTTCCTAACGCTTTTTACCGTATCTAACTTTAGGCTTTAAGTTATGCGTGTATATAATCGTGATTTATTTCTTACAACTAGAACAACAGTCTTTTTTCATATGATGTGTCCCAAATTCATAATTAACCCGTCGTGTGAGAATCTTTATTATGTAATCAGTATTTAGATACCAATAAGCGCACTACAGTAATATTATTATTGGTGGCTATTTAATAATGGCTTTCTAATTGCCTATTGCCAGTGCAAAACAACATTTACAATTATTCTAGTCAATCCACTCGACCGTACAAACACAGTACTTAAACAAAAGTACTTAAGGGAATTGTCTCACCGTAATTACAGTGCGTTCCATTCCAGCATGAAGTAAGTACTAGGTGGAAGTCTGGTCTGTCTTTAGATATCCTGTAATCGGCACCTAAGGCCGATTCAGTGCGACGACTTGCACGTATATTGCGAACACTTGTTTCTATTGCATCGAGGGCAACATTGAATATTACAGGCGAGTAATGAAGGAAAGTTGTTACAAGTTAAAAAATGTATTGACGCCCACCTATGTGGCTACTCTCGCATCATTTCTACCAGATTAATGTAGAAAAAAATAATTATAGTTTTGAAAGATAATACAACGGGTGGATTCACTATCGAGTTTAGTCGGCACCAATAAAAAAGCAAAAAAAATAAAAGCAAATTATTATAGATACCTCGTACTTAAGATAATTATAAAACTGTATGTAGTAATGTTCTAGGTAGTACAGCCGCGTTGTACCAAGTCATATATAGGAAATAACAGTTCACATCTCTCCACAGATGCCATAAATACGAGCAAGGAATAAATCCCATCCGAAATATATACTACAACTTACTGCGCAGAAAAATTATAGTATTCATCATTATCATCCACAACCTGACTTCACCCATCACTGGTATAGGCCTTCCGTTGTTGGCGCCATCCATTCAATTCTAACTTGGGCTCACACAACTTTTCTCACTTTGACGATGTCGTCTACCCATCTCGTTTCAGTATGTCCTACGTTTTTACAAACTAATTACATGCACATGGGATTTGTCAACGTATGTCTCAGGGTGACCGATCTTTGCGATTTAAGACTCTGAGTAGCCCTGCAACTACTATAGACAGGCGTCTCACTTACCATCAGGCGCACGATTTGTTCGTCCCGTCACAAGGTATCATTCAAAACATTGTAGGCCGCCATTTGGTTGTAGCTTTATTTCATCTGTCATCAGTGTTATTCGATCTCCTACGTCTATAAGGTCTAAAAGCCATTATCTATGAAAATATAACGTCATCATCAAAATATAATAGAAACGTACACACTTTAATTTTCAATAAAGAATTTGTGGCGATTCCCCTGTTGGTGATTCGCACCGTGTTCTTAACGCCCGGTTTTGGTATATAAATTGGAATGAAAACGATACGAGTAGAATAAGCATGAAGGGAACCAACACGTATATAAAAAGGACTCTTTGATAAAAAGTATTCACTTCGATTGATGACAAATTTAGTCCATAATTTTTCTATCATCAAATAATTTAAATTAACAAGATACGCTATTTATTACCTTAGAATAATAACGCATAGAAACCTAGCCCGCACACGCTAAGTGAGGCAAATTGTAGGACTTACACCAGCGAGCGGGCTGTCAGTGCTCAAGGTCAAGTTGCACCGCGAGCAGCTAAAAAATTTTTGCTAAAAATGACGAAATGTGCGGTAATTGGGTTTAAAAATAGATCAGACAAACATAAAATAGACACTAACATCACATTCCACAAGGAAGTAACGCGTTTCAACTTGTATTTTTATGTAAATATTCACTAAAACAGAAAATTAATTTCGTTGCATCATTATTTGTATATTTGTGTGCGTGCCGACGAGCGTAAATACAAGTTGCTTACGCCTACATGAATTTGATTTTTGCCTCACTTGTGACAGTTCGTTTTTTATGAAACTATCATTCTATGCGTTATTATTCTAAGGCTATTACATTATAAATGCGAATTTCTAGAAGTAATAATACATTATTATAGAGGCCGGGATATCAGGAATTGCCTGACAAGTATTAGTTACAAGGCCGAACGCCAATGAGACCTTGCATTATACGAGTCAGGCGATTCCCGTTCCTGCCGAGGTAAGTACGTAAACAGTGTTTTTTTCCCAAAAAATGTGAGGAAATATTCAAAGACTAAATAATGAAGAAGAAAACGTGGACTCATTTGAGTTAATGAAAATACAAAAAATAACACCAAAAGCCAGTTCAGTTTATTTTAGCGCCGATTTGGTATATTCCAGAGCACCACAATTAAAAGTAAAAAAGTAATATCGCTGATTCTCGCACCAACGAACACTGATGCTAGTGAGCAATTGGCTTTATAACAGTTTTTCTTTAGTCTGTTTACATTAATTGTTAGTAGACAGATTTAAAAACTTAGAGCAGCGGACAGAAACGGATTTTCTTGATTATTTTCCTGGTCTAGGTCGGTAAAGAGTTGTATGGTCCATAAACAACAAGATGTCGTGTGTTCTTTTTTGAAAATAATTCAAATACGAATGTGTCGCACTATCAACGTATTTTTTTTAATGTTAAAGTAAATAAAAACATTTCAAAAAAGTTGTCAAATAATTTATTTATATTTTGTTTTAAAATTATGAAATTGACCATAAAAACCTTTGGTGTTAAAAAGAAATTGAAAAACCTGATTTTCAGTAATTTGCAAAAACGTGCTTGATCCACTAGATACTTTTAATGTGTGTAGTTCCAAGCATGTTTGTGAAAATGTAATTTCTAAAAAGATTTAAATTCATGTCTGAAAATTATTCAGTGAACGGAAAACGTCTTTGTAGATAACTCCACAAGTTGTAAACTTCACTATTTCGCGACGATTTAACTTTGGTCGTCAGGATGTCGTCGAAAACTTTCTTATTAATGCGTTTGGTAGTTAATCGTTGCCGTTAGCAAAG